GTCGTTAAACAGTGTGGTCCTAGCGCGTTGAAGACCATTTCATGCGCGTTGTTTTGAGTGCTGTAATTCTAAAGTGATGCTTAAGGGATTACGAGCCACAACTACAAACGAGTTTTCCCCATAGTTTCAATCAGTGGAACTCAATTTTTTCTTTAGGACTTGGACATACAGTGTCGGAATTGGACCTAAACAAACATAATATACCAGTTTTTGAGAAGAAGAGATTCAGCATGTGCATTCCATCTGTGATCAAAATACTTGAATCATCCCAGTCTGTGATATTATGTGGCATTGAAACGCATGTGTGTGTTTTGCATACAGCGCTTGATATGCTCGAAAAGGGAATTGCTGTACATGTGGTTGCTGATGCTGTCTCATCGCGCTCACAGACCGACAGGTATCTTTCATAGCGATATGAATTAAATTGTTGATTGTTTGTCAGTCTTGTGCGTAACTCAGAGCAGGTCAAACATTTTTAATTTTTTATTTAGTTTGATTTTTTGATTTATTGATGTAAAACATGACGTAATCGAGTCGTTTTAAAAGAATGTTTGGCTTACGACAAATGGAAGTCGCGGGCGCTGTTTTGACAACTAGTGAATGTGCCATTCTCGGTTTGTTAGGAGGTGCGGACCATCCGAAGTTCCGTGAAGTACAGAAAACAATCTTAGAGCTTGGACCGGATACCGGTCTACTGCAGTACCCACTGTGAAAAAAATGAATAGATATGGTTAGTCAAAATGATCTGATAAGATAGTTGTGCAGTCAATTTGTTTGCCCAACTGTGAAGTTTAGGATCGAATGATAATGCGCGAGCATTATCAGAATTACCAGTATGATAACTTATAGGACGTTTTGAAGGGTTTTGACGCTTCATGCACTTTAGTCGTGTTTAATTTCGTTGACGCTATTCGTAAGTGTCCTTGATCTATAGTCCATTAGTAACGTGACACCTGTTTCTTTTTTTATGCTAAATGCATAATTCTAAAGTATGGTGAGATAGTATCATTTTTTGCAATGAGGTGGGGTGCACTGATCGATTTGTTCATTTGCAAAAAAAACTGAGGGTTTAGCATGTATGTGAAATTTCCGCACGTTGAATAAAATTATTGAAGTGCTTCATTCTCTCCATTTGTATGTCTGATTGCATTCTGTATATTCCATGCAGACTGATGAACGCGTCACCGAAGTTATTTAATTATTTATGTGAAGTGTTATAGTTAAGTAACCCTGATGATGTTGACATGTTGCTGAAAGTCCTTTGTCTTAGTTATACCATAGTTTCTGTCTTCATCCACATAAATGTTCCATTTTAAGCTGTGTTTGCTGCAAATCATGTCGTTGTTGATCTGTGATTTGGGTATTGGTCAAATTTTTCAAATTGTTTTTGTATTTTCCTCTTCATTAATTGTAAATGCCCAACACATTTTCAATTTATTTCTTTGAAGTGTTCAGACAAGGAAGCATACTATTAGAAGTGGATTAGGCAGTTAAAGCAGTATAAAACAGTGGATATCAGGCGTATGCAAACCTCCTTCCTTTTACAGTGATGACCGTCAGGAAAATGCTTTAAGCATGGGAATGTAAAGAAATTTTACTTAAGTCCCTGGTTACAAAGCACTGCTCAACTGTTGCTAAGTGATGTGAATGAGAGGAATGAGGGAGAGAAGAGAGGGAGCTTGGTAATTATTTCCTGCTAACTTCATATTTTTACCAGAGATCTAGATTTTACCAAGCATAACAATGAGAATCTATTAGAAATGACCATCTTTAAAATGTTATTACATTAGTCTTAGTAGCCACTGGATACTACTGTAACTACAGCAGCAGCATACGGTTGACTAGCTTGTTGTGTTGGAGCTTGTTCCGCAGGTGCTGGCTTAGCGTCAAGTCTGTAGTCGGAGAGATGGCTTCGTCTCCATAAGCATTATTTCGCTTTTTCCGGTATCCACTAGATTCTACTGAGTCTGGAATCACAGCAGCATACGATTGACCAACTTGTG